ATAGAAAATGTTGAGAAGCCCAAATTGCCCAAACTAGTTTGGGCTTTGAGAAAACAGTTTGGACCAGAAACCTTATTCTTAATGTTTATAATTTTTCTTTTTTCTTGGTATCTTTATCTAAATATGTTTGCAAAGATTTATTATCTGCTAATTTAAAAATATAAGGTGCAATTTTTTCACACCATCCCTTTTTAAAATACTTCTGAAAGTACTACCAGTAACTGGCAATTTTTCCACTAAAAGTATAATAAGTTTTTTTACATAAGACCTTATATAAATATTCCAAATATACTTACAGCAATGTGTGTATGTTATTTGAAATCACCTCTATGATAAAAAAAAAATGTATATAAAATTTGAGATGTATAATGCCCTACAGAGAATTTTTTTTGTTAATTATTAAATTTTTTAAACTAAATATTCTGACTTTTAATATATTATCATTGTAATTAAATATTGTTATTTAGTTCAAAAATTATGCAAATCTCATTAACACAAGATCCAATTAGAATATATCTTTGCAATGCATCACATGGAAGGTAGAAATCTTCAAAATGATGAATATTCAAAAAGAAGAAACAAATAATATGGGAAATGTCCAACTTGTAATAGATATAATACTTATCAGGCATGTTGTCAATCATGCAACCCAAAGCTATTAACCAAAATATGGACTAGTAACAATGAAGCATTAGATGAGTTAATTAAAAGCACACAACTTAAAGCAACTGAGTATAATTATTATTATCTTTGGTGGATTCCTTATAATGATTTAACAAATTTTGTGAAGGTGGTTTTGCAACTATATACAAAGTTATTTGGTTAAATGGCAAGAAAAGTGTAAATTATTGAAATAAAAGAACTAGTAAAGATATGACCGTGGCATTAAAAAAAACTACATAATTCACAGAATATTTCCAATGATTGAGCAAAAACCCCTACTCAAAATTATAAATTGGTTAGTATCAAAAAACAGAGAATTTATGAAAATGATTATACAAAACAAACACTATTTTACAACTTTCCTCTTAACATTAGCACCCAAATGCAATTTCAGGGTCACCAACTCTGCTCTGAATTGTAACCTTCACATTAAGGTTTCTGGTCCAAACTGTTTTCTCAAAGCCCAAACTAGTTTGGGCAATTTGGGCTTCTTGGCATTTTTTATAAACATGAACATTAAAAAATTATATGAATCAACTTAAACAACTTTAAAATAATTTCTCCCAATTTCAGCTAATAACAAAAAGTAGTTTGGGCAATTTCGGCTACTAATAGAAGCAGTTTCGGCCAGAAACCTTAAATGGTACACATCATTTTTTCATTTCTTAAAAAATGCTACACAAGTGTTGGAAGTGCTAATCAAATTGGTTACAGATAATTTCTATATTTGGTTAGCATGAACCATGTGCATCAATGCTATAAAAAATGTGTGTAGCATTAAATAAAAAATGAAGTGTACTGTTTACTTGATGTTGCATTGGAAATTTCTAGCATTAATTCAAATGATCTTTTGTCCATTTTGGTTTTCCATAGCATTAGTCACATAATATTATGATGGGTGATGCAATGTCACTGACACAATTTAATAATTTTGACATGTATAATCAAAAATCAAAACGTGAATTTATTAACAAAAAATTGATTATCAACATTAAATCTTGGAACAACATGAACAGTATCAATTATAGTTTGTACAAATACAAAATCATACAAATTTGTTAATTTTAAATGCGGGCATTCATAAACATAAGATTGACTTTTAACAAAGTCATACCATCTAACAAGTGCCAATTGTAGTGTTATATTATCATCAATGAAATCTACTTCAGCAAGCAGTAAAATCTAATAATAATAATAATAAATAATATAAATTACCAAAAAGTTTTGATATAAAAAAATACTTATATATATTTACTTGCCCATAGCATAAATCTTCATCAGTTAAATAATCTGAAGATTCATTTGAATCCATTTTGATTGATACATTACTAAACCAGGATTTATTATGGTAATTATTATCTGATCTGATGATGCTACCATTATATAAAGTTACTGCTTTGAAAAGCTTGAGTTTTTTCATTTTTAATTTTAAAATTAAAAAGTTTTTTGAAATTTTGAAAACAAATAAAGAATTTTTCTAATCCTATTTTCATATTACCATTTAATTTATTTTCATTGATTAAATTTAAAAAAATATCATCAGATTCTGATAATACCAACTTCCATGATAAACCTGATAATATATATGTTGAGATTGTTGTATTTTTTTGATTTGATTTTTGTGATTTAATCTGACAAAAATTTTTTCTTTCTACCTAATTTATAAAAATAAAATTTTAACTATATAATTGCATAAATAAAAATACTAAATAATTTATATATACCATATTTGTAATTTGTTCTATTATATTTTTTTATTTGTCATTTTGTAAGGAATCTTTACAAAATATTTATGTAAAGATTCATATGTTTCAGTTGTATATTGATTAAGGGAACCAAAATTTTTTATGGAGTCAATAAATAATATGGTACCTCCAATGATGAAGTTTTGGAAATCTAAGATTTGATTTAGAAAATTTGCAAAACAACTCAACAAATTTTTTTGACCAATCTATAATGGAGTCCTAAATATATATAATAAATATATTAATAAAAGTGATTGTGAATTCATATTAATAAAAATTTTCCTTTACCTCAAAATCTATTAAATCACTTTCTGTGAAAGATTCTTTCTGACTTTTTATGTACATTTTGTTAAATAAAACAAATACCCTAGTTAACATTTCATTCTTTATTTTATTTTCTTCATCATGAAAATTTTTACTACAGTGTGTGTCACAATAATACATCCAAAATAATTGGTCTTCTTAAAATTGACATGGATCAAATTCCCATGCACTTTTTGAAAAAAAACAACGTTAATCAATTATTTTAGTTAAGAGCTATTGAGCTACGTTGAGCCTTTTTAAATAAGTTCAGTGTAACAAGAGTCATGTCAGGTTAAAGTTTGAAAATTCTATTATAAAAGTTATAAAAATTCTGAAATTGGCACCTTATAATTTTGGTCAATTTCGTCTAATGTTGGCCCAACTTATAAAATAAAATGTCACATATCAATTTAATTAATTCGCGTAAATTGAATCACAATATTTCAAAATATTCTTTTTGCTAATTTTTCTTCTAATAAAAATCCTAAAATACTTAAAATGGTTGGAATTAAAAAAAGAACTCAACACTTAAAAATTATTGCTAAAATTTCTGTGCATTCAAGACAAGAAAAACAAAAAATACCAGAGGATAATGAAATTTAGTGAGAAATTATTGTTTAATTTGCTAAGTATAACTTGATAATTAAATTAAATATTTCTTTTTTTGGAGAAAATAGTGATTCTGCTAATTCTGATGATTTTGAAGAAATGATTTCATATTTTGATGAAGAATTTGAAAATAACAGTGAATCTTTATTCCAATTATTGATTAATAATATGAAAAATTATAAAGCTAAAAGACCTTTAACCTATCATGGAAATTCAACAAGAACACAAAAAAGAAGAAAGCATCAACAAAAGAAAATATCAATAAAAGTGGTCAAACTCTTGATCAATTTTTTATATGAAATATCATCTTTTTTAAGAGAGGAAAAATTTAATGTGACTGTAAATAATTTTAAAGAATTTATTGCTAAAGATGTATTTCCTAGTATAGGAGTTGAAAATGAGACAGCAATCAGGTGAGAAGAAGAATATTTTTTTTGTAAACTATTCTTAATTAACAAAAATTTTTTTTTTAAGTTTATCAACAGCAAACAGGTGGTTGAAGAAAATGGGCTATGTATATGACAAATATAAAAAAGGTCTTTATTTTGATGGACATGAAAGAAGTGACATGGTTGAATATAGAAGTAAATTTTTAGAGGAAATAGAGTTGTGAGTTATGAATTTATTATAACAATTATCATCTAAAAACATAATTAATCAATGCTTTGATTTTTAATATAGATATCAGAAATTAATGCCAACATTTACAGGTGATAATCTTGAAATCCAAATCAATCCAGAATTAAATGAAGGAGAAAAACTTCATATATTGGTAACACATGATGAAACTACCTTTCAATCAAATGATGGATTGAAATCTGAGTGGATGCCTGAAGGAGAACAACCTTTGAGGAAAAAAGGACAAGGCAGATCAATCCATGTAAGTGAATTTGTTACTAACACAATTGGAAGATTAAAACTGAATCAACAACAGGTTTATGAGTTTGGAGAGTCAGTTCCTCATGAGGCAAGGGTAATGATGAATCCAGGAAAAAATTTTGATGGATGGTGGAATGTTGAAAAATTAATTGATCAAGTAATGTTTCAATTTAACTGAAATCTTACTAAATTGAAAAAAAGTTAAAGATATTTTTATTATAGATAATTAAACATGCAATTCCAATATTTGAAGCCACTCACCCAGGTGCAGTTGCAGTTTTTGCCTTTGACAATTCTTCAAGTCATGCCAAAATTGCAGACAATGCTTTAAATGTAAATAATATGAATTTAAATCCTGGTGGGAAAAAACCTAAACTGCAAGACACAATCTTTAATGGAAAAATTCAAACAATGAATTTTCCTGATGACTTTCATGATCCTAAATTATGTGGAAAACCCAAAGGAATAAAATTAATTTTGGAAGAACGTGGATTATGGCCAAAAGAAGGGTTAATATTAACTTGCAATAATAATAATATTGAAGAAATTACAAACTATCCAGATTGTTGTGCAAGACATAAATTAGGAGCACAACCAGATTTTGTAGCTCAAATACCTTTAATACAGGAAATCATTGAAAGCACATGGCCATAGGTGATGTTCTATCCAAAATACCATTGTGAATTAAATTACATTGAGATGTATTGGGGTGCAGCAAAGAGGTATGCAAGAGAAAACTGCAACTATACCTGGAAAGGTCTGGAGAAAACTGTTCCTTTGGCATTAGACTCTGTTTCTTTAAATTCAATTTGTAAATTTGAAAGGAAGTCAGCTCGTTATATGGATTGTTATAGAAAAGGCTTGAATATGAAACAAGCTGAGTATGCTGTAAAAAAATACAAGTCTCATAGAAAAATACCAGACTCAATCTTGACAGAAATAGATATTTAATTCATTAATATAACTTTTTAAAAAAAAATAAAAAATAAATTTTTATCACGTGCAAACTTCATGATAATTTGGCCCCTCTATATAAAAATGGATGTATTATTGTGACATTGGATATTTACCATTACGATTATTCTCAATTCTTTTTTACCGAATCTAAATCTTTTTTTTTTGGTGACATACTGATATATTTAAAATCAATATTTAGCCATATCTTTGTATGAAAATTTGGTCGGTTTAATTAATCACTTCAATTTTGTCAATTTTCAATTTCGTCAATTTCGTCAACCATTCTTTTAATATTAATATAATAAAATTCAGATTATGACTACATTTGGAATCATCCAATCAAATTTCAACACTGCTATACGCATCTTTACATGTAGAACTCTACAACAAATTATTGCGTTAAAACTAAAGACCTATTCTATTAACCAATAATGCTATTTTTAGGTCTTTAGACCGAGCCAATTATAGAATAAAATATAAATGAAATTTTGATAGAAAAAGAACAGAATATTTTTTAAAATGTAATTTCGACCAAAGCAAAGGAAAAAAATAAAAAAATTGTTTTTTAGCATTTCTCGCGCCCGCACAATCCAGCAGATAACCAAGTATTTACCGTCTATTATCACCAATATATTTTATCTCATAGTCGTGATAGTAGCTTCAGTACATCCGCCGCCTCATACATATAAGTATCATAATGATCAAGATTTGTTTCTTGCTGGGTATTGGTTTGATGATTATAGATATTATCTTGAAACAATAGTTGTTGCAAACAATTACATATATAAAAAAATTTTTTTTTGTTAGTAAGAACGAACGAATAAATTAGTTAATTAGTTAATTAATTTACATTACTTATAAATACCATCTATATTGATATGAGTGTCAACGACAATATTAACTGGATTTACGGGAATATGTACGTATATATTATCATTAGTACTATTTTTATTTTTATTTTTATTTTTATCATTGCTATTACCTTGTGTTTGTCTTATTTTTGGACTCGAAATACTAGAAGTACCTTTTAAATTAAGATTATCAGATATTACTCCATTGTTACCATGATAACATGGTTTAGTAACTTTGATAATATTATCAGCAGCATTGACATCACAATTTTTTGTTTCTTTTTCCTATTAATTAAAGAAAATAGATGATTATTTGAAACAAAGAAAGAGTATTGAAAAAATTTGATTTTTTTTTACCTTAGGTTTATTTTTGCTATTAAGTTTGCGACCTCGTTTTCCCGGATTTTCATCAAAAATGCATATTCTTTTCTCTTCAATGCACCTATTGCAAGAAGTAGAATTCTTCTCTTCTTTTACACACCTTAAACGTGCTCCGCGGCATGGATTGCATGCAATACGAGAATGCGTGCGCTTTACGTAAGGTTTTGTTTTTCGTGCTTCCTTCTTTTTCGGTCGTCTATTTGTTCGAATACTAAATGTATCTGGTTTCAATTCGGACTGTGGTGCCGTATGACCCGGTTGTTCATTAAAAGGATATACATCTAGATATGGGTAATATGGTAATTGAGAATTTGGTTGTAAATATGATATTTGACTATTATCCAATAATGTTGGATATATTTGAATCTGTTGTGGATAATGAGATTCGAGCAAACGATTGGAAAGTTGATTGTAATATTTATTGTGAATTTGCTGCTCGTTTAATAGAGGCGGATCCATTTTTTTTTAATAATTGATTAAAAAAATTTATAAATAAAAAAATTCAAAATTACGAAAGAAAATAAAATCGATAAGTGAAATTTTAGCAAACAGATTTATAGTTTTATATACAAATGAACTATATAAATTTTCTTCTGTTTAACTTTGTAACTTTCTAGAATCCCGTTATAGATACTAGTGATAAACATAAATATAAATATCATTATTAATGAGATTGTGTAAAAATTGAAAACAAATCATAGAAACCTTTCTTTAGAGAAATTAAGATTTCTTGGCCAAATTATTCGATAAATGGGAATTCTAAATTCGATATTTATTTACTGTGATATAGATTTTCTAAAAAGGCAAAAAATCTCTTTTGTCCAATAAAACTCTCAAACAAGAAATTGTATTACAAAATAAAAGCCCTACCTAATTACTTTTATTTTCTCAAAACTAGAGTAGCGAGTAATATATAGTTCAATAATCATCACCACCACCTTTTTTAATATACAGGAAAAAAAAACAAATATATATGTATAATTCTAATTTATATATATATATAAATATAAACGAAACACACAAAATAATAAAATCTATAATAAAAATGATCATAAATTGAAAAATTATATACATTTTTAAACCTCAAAAAAAAAAAAAATATTCAAAAATGAATCTTTCTTATTTTTTGATTGTTTTTTTTTTATAATGATTTTTAACAATCCCCTATGAAGAATAATTTTTTAACCTTTTAATTTCTTTTATTTTTAATAAAGAAAATTTATTATAAATTTAATAATATAATGATAGCATGATTATGAATGAATACAATATTAAAAAACTCACTTTAGTGGAAGTGAAATTATATGTTAAACCAAGTCCCATTTTTGAAGAAATTTTTGTCTATTGAGATACTGTTTGTTATAAAGGAGTTTCATTTAAAACACCTGATATATAAACAATCTTATTTGTTGGTCCGACTTCTATAATTACATCATCTGGATTTTTTACTGTAGGAACATTTGCTATAATGAAATATCATTTCTATTTCAAAACAAAAAAATAATTTAATTTTTTATCCATTCTTCAAAATAAGCCGCGTTTTTACCTGTATGATCAGGACCTTCCACAAAATCGGATAATGCTGGGTTAATAAGTTATATTTAATAAATAAATTTATGTGCATAAGGTAGGTATGTACAGAGAAAAGAGGAAACATCTTTCACAAGTGAGGGAGGACTTCAAACGAGACATTATTTTTAAATGAGGGGAAATAGTGGAAAACTACATTTGGGAATAGATACCTCTTACGACTTTGAAATCGCCTTCCATCCTTTATTATAAATTTTTTTTCAAGTTGCTCTTTTTGCAGGTTAGTTTGGTGTTGGATGATTAAGTTGGCTTTTTCTTGCCGGAGATTTTGTTCGGTGGCTTCTAGTTCTTTAATTCGCTGATGTTGGCCTTGGCTTCACTCATTAAGTTGGTTGATTTTAGTTTGTTTTTGCTCATTTTGTTCGGTCAGATTAGTAATGGTTTGACTAAGAGTTGACCTTTCTGCTTGGTGATTTTCTGTTAATTCTCCCCGTTCTCTTTCTCAGGTATCACGGTCAGCTTGTCAGTTTTGTTCGAGTTGAGTTAAGAGTTCGGTGGCTTCCTTTTTACTTACACGGATATGACTTTGAATTTAAAAGATCACCATTACAACTTTTTTTCTGCATACATTTTTTACGAATATGGGTGTTAGAGATACACTGTACATTTCACGTTAGTATCAGTTATTTAAGATATACTCTCTTTTTATTTGTAATTTAAAAAAGAGTTGTTTGAGATGAGTTGAGGGAGTCAATAACAAGATACCAAACAATCTATCTCCATCTACCTAGATATACTATTTGTTCTACCTGTTCTTCGTGGAAGTTTTTTTTTACTATAAAAAAAAATGTGAAACATTGACATCATAATTTATTTTTAAATAAGAAGAAAATACAGTTCATTCTCTCTATAATTAACCTTCTGTCCCTATGTATAATTTTTCTGCTTTTCTTCATTATAGAGAGTGTTTACTAATATGTTTGTTATATAAAGAGAATGGAAGTTCATTATAGAGAGATTTGCCTGTTTATTTTATTTTTTGCTTACTAATGGAGGTCACAGAAGAAAAGGACAATGATATAATAAATATCGTCTAGTATTAATTCTGTAATTACTGGACTTATCGTTTTTCATTCTCTTATCATTCACCTTCAATATATGATATTACTATTACCCATTTTATTCGAATTATTCGTTTTATTTCAATGTAATTCGAATATTCAAACTCATAACGAATAAAATAAATAATTCAAATAAATCTTATTTGAATAGAAATCCTAGCAAATAGTGAACCAATACGATGGTGACGAATTGGGATTAATGCCAGCAAGCTTAGTATCATATGAGAATTTTTTCATCAACTGGGATTTATTTACAAAGAAAAAAAAACAAGTAAAAATAATAAAAAACCCGGTTTTAAAAATTACGTTATTTGTCTAGTAAACTATTTAAATTTATTGGTCGGATAAGGTTTTCTGCCAGCCGACATCGCTAACTTTTCCATTAAAAAAAGTTTATAAATAATTAAATACCTTCTAAACCAGTTACATCTTGATTTGCCACGATATGCCTATTTTACTGATTTCATTATGGATTTTACTTTGTAAAAAAATTGTTTAATTACTATTTAATAAATTTATCAAATTTAATAATAATGCTCTCCCATTTAAACCATATTATTAATAAATCTGATTATTATTAAAATTGGAAAGGATGATGATTGATATTAAAACCTTTGAAGCTCATTCTAACATTTTGAAAGCCAAATCTTTGTATTTTGATGCTGCTCTATCAAATAATTGGATAAGAAGAGTTGAAAATGGAATCATTTTATTTGAAAAAAAAAATATCTCCAAAGTTCTTTTAATGTAGGTTTTAATTTAATTTAACTGGTTTTTTTTTTATTAAGCCATTGATATTAATAACCTTGATCCAATTAATATTCTTAAACTTCTCGAAGAAACCTGGCTTGTAAGCCAGCCTGTGAGGAGCTTTACCTTTAGGTCTCAGAGGGTTGGTTAATATATTTCAAATATTTGAATTCTGCAATAATTTACAATGTTTAAAGAATCAAATATTAAACTAAATAAGAAAATGTTAATGGGCAATAGGTAGAGATGGGAAATTGCATGAGATTTCAAAATTTCATGCGCATTTATGCATTGCAAAAAAATTTAGAATGTATACCAAGGTTGGTTGACAAAAGTATTTTGGAGTGTAAAAAGTATTTCGTCAAATGGGGCACTTATGACGAAATGTGACGAAAGTGACGAAAAGCAACAAAGGGTAAAGTCAAAAGTCAAATTGTGATAAAGATGACGAAAATATAAAATTCAATTTTATTAAAACAAGAATTTAATTTTAACATTTTCTTACATCATAAATCATGTTTCTTGGTTGGATACTTAATTTTTTTATGCAAAATTTAGTAGGAATTGCTGCTTCACATCTATTGCTGGTTTCATAACTTCAAAATTTTGTAGAATCATTTGATAATTCTGATTGTTGAAATGATTCTTCATTTACTATTTTAATGGAGTGTAACAATACATCAAACACAGGACATCCTGTAGCTAATTCTTGATTATTGTTAGATAAATGAACTTTCAGGTATATTATCTAATTTTAATGTTTGCAAATTCATATTACATGATGATTGAGAAGGAATTGGTGAATTGGGTGAATTAGAATTTGACATCATGAATTTTATTTACTCCATAATTTAAAAATCTACAAAATAATTAGTTTATTTTATTGTTTTGTTGATTTCGTCACTTTCGTCAAATTACTCAAAGTGTATCTCAAAAAAAAAATATAAAAAAAAATATCTAAATAGAATTTTCAATCAATATTATTATCATTACCACTGCCTTCTTCTCTACCACTTTCTATTCTAATTGTTTAATCATCATCATCATCATTTTTAACATTTTTACTTCCCACATTTCCATATTATCATTGTTGATATTTTTTGGACATTTTAATTTGTGATTAAAATAAATATATACCAATTTAATACACACATTCAGGTGTTAATAGTTTATTCTCTTTTTATCATTTATAAAAAAAAAAGTAAACCAATTCCTTTAGAAGCAAAGCTGATGAAATAGGCGCTGAAATTATCAATTCTACCCAGTTTAACAAATGAGGCCAAATTTTTGATTTTGACATTTCTTAAAAATGCTATCAATAATAAACTTGGTAAAAATTAAAAATTCACACTTTTTTTGAATAGAATTGTGTATGATGTGTTGCATTTTTTTTCATGCACATGTCACATCTCTAGCAATAGCAATAGTAATAGGGGACATTTAAAGAGTGAATAAGGATAATCTATTAAGGATAATATCAGGTGATGCCTTTTTTGTTAATGATATATATCAATTGAAGCCATCTAGAAAATACAAATAAAATATTTCAGGTGTTTTGACGTTTAATTAGAAAAAATTGGCTATATAAATTTTTTTTATTTCAAATGAATCTAAACCCATTTAATTATGCTTTGGAATCATGCAAACCATCTTCACATATCTTTCAACATTTGTTGAGATATGCAACATTTTGTCACCACCATTATTTTAGTATAGGTTCATAGAAATTCAAAATTATTTAATTACAAATAATACTATTAATACCTGAATTTTGATTACTATGTCTTTGATTTTATATACAATTGGTTTAGTGAGGCTATTATTGAAGTTATGATTTAACTAAATGATAGAATTTGGTAATCTTAATTTCAAAATTCTTCAATCATATTGTAAAAATTAATTAAAGATTGTGTGTGGGTTAATTATGTATGTCAAAACTTATGGCTTTAGTCATTGACTTAACTAAAGTATTGGTATTGACTAAAGGTAGTTTCTCTTTTTGTCGATTTGACTAAAAGCAAAAACTCTTGACTAAAGTAAAAACATTTGACATAATTAAAAACATTCATCTGTTAATATTAATGTGTAATGAAAATTTTTAAAATCCGTTGAAACAATGGTTATACTGTAGAATACGACAAAATATTCTGATAGGATTGTATTGAGGCAGAACGTTAGCGTATTTTCAATTATTGTTTTGTTCATATATAATTATCTGGAAGACTATTGTAATGTTTGTCACTAAGTTTGCTCCATGACTCATCTCCAGTAGTGATGTTAGCCGATAGAAAAACCTTGGTCAGCCAAGCCTAACAGCTCCTAACCGGCTATGAACTTAAATAAATTCCAGTTGATTAAAACACTTTTCAAATATTACTAATACCAAGCTTGCCGGTATTATTACTATTGTTATTATAATATCTCATCATTATTACCATTTAATGGGCTAGAATAAGGTTTATTCGAATTATTTGTTTATTTGTTATTATTATGAATTTGAGTATTCGAATTAATGCCCCACGAAAAATAAAATACGGAATTAATGTGTTAAATACGTGCTTAAAAATATATATACAATACGAAATCAACGTATTTCTTTTTATTATACGGTTTTGAAAAATTACTATTATTATTACCCCTTTTCAAATTTAATGTGAAGCACGGAATTTGTAACATACTAATTATAATACTAATACTAATACTGAAAATAGAAAAGGTATGTTTTAATTCCACATATAAAATACGGAATTTGCAACATATTAATACTAATACCAATACTGAAAAGGTACTGGTATATTTTTGATTCTGCGTATATGGTACGTAAATGTGTAAAATATAAATATAAAGAATATTAATTGGTGGTCCGCCGATCAACGATAGAAATTTGTTATGTAGATCCGGGATATCAAACTTATTAAAATTTAAGAGATCACGGAATCCAAATTGTCCATTAATTTTTTTTTAAAAAATATATTTCAAAGTTAAAAT